GATCTCACTTCCAGCCTCCAGAACTATGAGGAAATTAATGTCTGTTGTTTAAGCCACACAGTCTGTGATAGTTTGTGACACCAGTCCTAGCAACCTAATACAGACACCCCCCCCCCATCCTCCCTTCTCCTTCTGGCCTCCATTTCTGCTTCTCTCCTCCCCCTCCCCCTGCCATTCTACTCTTTTTCTTTGTCCATCAAAGATAACCCCTTGGTCACTCATTCTACAAATGTTTAGCGAGCATGCCAATGTGACAGAGAAATGAATAAAAATTCATTCATTCGGGGCACCTGGGTGGTTCAGTTGGTTAAGCGTCTGACTCTTGATTCGGCTCAGGTCGTGATCTCGTGGTTCATGAGTTTGAGCCCCGCAACGGGCTCTGCGCTGACAGCGTGGAGTCTGTGGGATTCTCTCTCTCTCTCTCTCTCTGCCCCTCCCCTGCTCACACACTCTCTCTCTCTCTCAAAATAAATAAACATTTTTTAAAACTCTTATTCATTCAGCAAATATTCATTGAGCACCTATTAAGTGCCAGGCTCTGTTCCAGGCGCTGGATTACGATGATACACAGGACAGAAGCAATCCTGCATTCAAGGTGCAGACAGTGTGGTCAGGGAGACTGGCACAGAATTGGCTTCCACCAAGTTCCAGGTGCAAATTCTGGATGGAGTCTGCACGGGGCACCTGGCTGTTCAGAGAAGGAAGTCACAAAGTCCCATGAGAGTGAAAAGGAGAGGGCCCAGGAAGCTAGGAGGGAGAGGTGGTGTTTGTGTTAAGCCTGGAAGAATAAGGAGGAAGTCTCTCTCCCTCTCACTCTCCAGAAAGGTATCCATCACTAAGCAGAGCTCACTGGACATTCGCTGACCATACGAGCAATGAAAAGCTAAAGGAAGCCGGTCTCTATGGATGGAGGGAAGGGGGGACAGGGACAGGGGACAGTAACAGAAAGAAGAAAAAGAAAAGAAACTTGTCCCAGAGGTGTTAGCCCTCCCAAGCCGACATCTGCTCCGATCTGAAAGTTAATTACAGTATTTGGATGTTTTATTTTCCATCCTGCTTAATAATTATGACAGAACCCAAAGTGCGCGATAACACTGAATCGTTATAAAATGAGATTTAATTATCCTCCCAACTCACAGGAATAAACAGGAGAAAACACATGCTCTAACATGTGCATTTGGCAAAGCAGGTGTCTCCCTCTTGCTTCTTCCAATCCCTCGGAGGCGGTACGTGGAGGGCCGAGTTGGCGGCTTGTCCCCCATTACGGGATTGTGTGTACGTGGGGGCACAGCCGCACATGCCCATCGTGCCCATGGAAGCAGTCTGGCGGGTCCTCCTGGGTTTCGGGTACCCCCAGCAGTCAGATTTATTCATTCAGCGTCGCCTCACTCAACAGAAATGTATGAAGTGCCCACTGTGTGCCAGGCATGGATCGTCCTGGACCTTGGGGAGACAAGGCGGGCAAGGCAGGCGAGGTCCCTCCTGGAACACTGACCAGTGTTCTAACCAGGGCGACCAGTCTAACAGACAAGGAGAATACCAGATGGTGAGAAGGGCTGTGCAGAGAATTTAAATCAGGGGCTGTGCCTGGAGAGGGGGCTCCGGATACTTTAGACCTGGTGGCCCACCTAGGCAGACAGGCTCTCTGAGGAGGTAACATCTAAATAGAGGTCTACATGAAAAGAAAGAAGCAGCCACACAAGGAGCAGACTTAGGGAACATCAAGTGCAAAGATCCTGAGGCAAGAATGGGGCGGGGGAGGGTGACATCAAAAAGGATCCGAAGGGGGAGGGAGAGCAGGATTCGTAGAGATAGCAACACAGCAGATGAGCCTTGTAGATGCGCGTGAGGAACTGAACTCGATTTCAAGGGCCAAGGGACACCATTGAAGGATTTAAGGGGTGGGTGGGGTGGGGGTCATAAACCGATCTTTTTTATCGTAAAAAAATCCCCCTGGCTGCTGTGTAGAGAATGGGCTGTAGGACAAGAATGGGAGGTGGAAGAATACGAGGACCTCGGTAGCCAAGATGATGTTGGTATCCGTATCTGTCTCTCCTGCTGCAAAAAATTACTCTTAATCTCTCAATGCCCCAAATCCCCAGTCATATCTCATTTTGTACAGCCCTCTGCAGCTTAGAAGGTACTTTCGCTTTATAATGACATGTGATTTTGACCCTAGTAACAAATTCCAGAGACCAGTACTGCCATCCCTTCCTCACAGATGAAGAGACTAGGGCTCAGAGAGGTTGGGTGACCTGTCCAAGGACACACAGCTAGTTAGTGGCAGAGTCAGGAAGAATATCACACCCTGATGAGAGAGATAGCTTGGGGCGGCGGCCGGGGGGGGGGCGGGGGAACAGAGTTAGAGAGACAGCGATGTCTAGACCCACAATGCCCAGTGACAAGTTTTTTGACGAAAAGCCAGAACTGTTACAAGCCTAGTGAGCCTAACCTCATCCTTCAAAGAAATCCCCAGTGTGACCGGACACTCATTCTAACAGGCACTTGGAGCAGGACGTTTCTGGAGGCGGGGTGGAAGGACAGATGGACACAGGCTTTGGGGCCAAAGGTCTTCAGATGGGATTCCAAGTCAGCCTTTTCCCGCCTGGGCCACCCGGACCCTCCATCAGTCTCCTGGGCCGCAAGTAGAATTATCCCGGCTTCGAAGATGGCTTCGGGGCCTGGGGCCTTTGAGTCTCCATGGGGGAAATTTTTGTTCTTGGGGTTACTTTGGATCTTTTGGAAACGTGGCAGAGCTGCTGGGACTTGGGGAATATGTATGGGCCGACGGCAGGGCCCCGCAAGCCCAGAACCTTGTTCCGTCTTGCTCAAAGCCTGACCGCTCTGCTGCTCCCCGGCTCCACTGGGGGAGCCCACGGCCCCATTTCGAAAAGCCTCCGCCCAGGCAATACCCCCACCTAGCGGCTGCTCTCTCCCCTCTCCAGGATCCGGGAAGAGTCAGGGCGGACAAGGAAGCTTCGAGCGCCAATCACCCGGGGCCTCTGGGTAAAATGCAGATTTTGCCCCCCCGGGGGGGGGGGGGGGCGGCCCCCCCGCCCAGGAGACGCTGGTACTGGTGGTCCTCAGACCCCACTTGGAAAGACAAGAAAAATGACATTCCTGAGCAGGGCGGAGCAGCAGCAGTGGGGGACGCTGGTTGAGATCAGCTCTACAAAATTGTCCAGTAAGCAGATTGGAAGATTCGTAAGAAACTGTGTGCGCGGAGGTTAGGCCGCCAGACAACCGGACTGCCTGGGTGTGCAACGTGTCTCTGCCCCGCACGAGCTCTGTGACATTGGGCAAGTTACTTAGTACCTGCCACCTAAGGTTCTTGGAAGTAATAAGTGAACCGATAGGTAAAATGCCACCTGGCCCTTTGTAATTGCCACATGAGTATTCGCTACTGTTATAACGTGCGGTGCTGTTAAGTCCTTATCAGTCCTTGGAAAACCTCATTAAGTCAGGCCGACTGAGAAGAATTTTTAAATGGTGAAGATTCTAAATGAGGACGCCTTCAAACGCCAGGCAGTTTTAAAGTGCCAGGCATACTTTCCCCACCCCCTTTTCTTCTGGCCACGGAGCAGTTTTCCAGGGTTACCCCCATCCCCAACCGGACTCAACAACTCCCCCCCAACTTTTCAGGGGTCTCCAGATGGCCAAACTTGTGGCCAATCGGAGCACTCCTTCCCCTGGGCTCGGTGATTGGCTCAGGAATGGGCACATGACCCGGGGCCGGGCCAATGCACGGAATCCCTGGGGCTGTTGCCGGAGGGACCGGGGAAAGAGACACCTTCTTTTCCCTGGAATCAATGCCTGGGAAGAAATGAAGCCAGACGGTACTACGTTGGTCATCTTAGCTGCTACAGAGAGCGAGCCCGCCTCAGAAGGGGCCAGTACAGCAGAAACCTGGGCCAAAGGACGGAAAGAGAGCTCTGGGGGCACCCTCTGAATTCCTGACCCAAGCACCCCGGACTCCAGACGCCCAAACTTCGGAGTTCTATGGGCCAATAGTTTCTTAAGCTGGATTCAGTTGCACTTCACCTCAAACTTTACCTAGGAGTCCCCTGGCAGGCATTACAGCACGTCTGTCTGTCCTCTGTGCTGTGATGCCCTGATCTAAAGTGTCTTTCTTGGGGCGCCTGGGTGGCTCAGTCAGCTGAGCATCGGACTCTTGACCTCGGCTCAGGTCACGATCTCAGGGATCATGAGTTCAAGCCCCGCATTTGGGCTCCGCGCTGTCTGCTTGGGATTCCCTCTCCCTCTCCCTGCCCCTACCTGGCTGGTGCTTGCTCTCTCTCAAAATAAAAGCGGAGAAAGGAGGAATGCCCGTCACCACCAGGCACCATGGGTATGAGTGTGCCATTCTACAGACGGGGCCAGCGAAGGCGGTATCACATCAAGGCCACACGGGTGGCAGAACCTGACTAAACCAGCCCTATCCAGCTCTGAAGGCCTTGCTAGCTACATTAATCCACATTGCCTTCTCTGAGCCCGCCACCCTCCTCCCCCTGGAGGAATTCATTCCTCAGCAGAAAACGGTTGACGTCGAATGTAGAATGGTGATTCTGTAAGGGTGGTTCCGGAGGAACAGGTTAGAAATGCAAATTCTAGGCCTGTACCCAGAACCTCCTGGATCGGAAACTCTGGGGTGGGGCCGTGAATCTGACGTAACAAGCCCTCCAGGAGATTCGGATGCACACCAAAGTACAGGCACGTCTGCCAAAAGTGAATAAATCAGCTTTACTTGAGTTGAATCAGGTATTTGCTGAGCACTGTTTACCAGGGCTAGAAGTATAGACATAAGCCAGATGAGGTCCTTGACCTCCAAGAGCTCCCAGCCTGGTGGGAATGGCCAAATCAGCACTGCACATTCGCCGGAAGAACATCTCTGAGTCGGGGGGCATTTGCAGTCAGCACCCCTGATTTCTTGGCCATGCAAACACTTTCAAACCTCCAGGCCCTCGTATACGCAGCCCCCCTCCCCCAACACACACCTCTACCTTCTATATCTATCTGCAAGGCTCCTCCTCTTGCTTCAAAATGCAGCTTCAGCGTCACCTCCCAGCACCATTCATCACCCCTCAGCTAGGAGGGGTCCCACGGCAGGGCTTCCAGTCCTCTCTGAGGGCACCAGTCACACTGCATTAGCAGAGCTCAGGAAACAGCCGTTTCTCCCACCCAGCAGGAAGTCATTTGAGAGCAGGCACGGTGTCCCAGTTCACCTTCCCTCCCCAGAGCTCTAGCAGGGCCTGGCACATAGCAGAAGCTAGGAAATGTTTGATGAATGGGTTGATAAGGGAATTCGAGGCAAGCCTTGAGGGACAGAAAAGGCTTAAAAGCACAGCCCAAGAGAGTGCGGGGTCTGCCCTCTGCTCTCGCAGCACCGGCATCCCCTGGGAGCTTGTAAGCAGTGCACGACCTCGGGGACCGCTCGGACCCACCGAATCAGAGTCTGCATTTGAACACGATGACTGCGCAGGTGACTTGTGCATTTTCAAGTTAGAGAAGTTCTTCAAAGGGGCTGCCTGCCCCCCCCCCCCCCCCCTCAGGCTTCCAGGAAACATTATTGGGTTGATTTTACACACACGGAATACATACAAAGGCACTGTCAGCTGACAGTTCTCCCCCTGGGAAAACTCCCACTGGGTACCCTCTGGAAGACTGAGGAGTCCAGGGACAGACGCCCTCTTACTTCCCCAGGCCCAGGACACAGCCACCAGGCAGCATTCTGAGAAGGAAACCAAGACCCTGCTTCCCCTCTCGGCTCGACTCCTGGCAGCGCAGAGACTTGCAAAAAAGATACACAGAGCTTAGTTCTGGTCGAAAAGTCTCCACTCATCTAAGAATGCGATCGATAATGGCAAGGGGGAAATCAATGGCGCCAGGAGATCCATCTCTGTGTATTTATGGAGCACGGATCCCAGGGTGGCGGGAGACTTCAGCAGACTGGACAGTCCGTGCCTGCTTCCCGGGGATCCTGATTCCCTTCCCAAGAATTATGGGGTGTCCTTTGTCTCTGCTCGATAACACCCTGGAGTTACAGAGCCATTTAGAAACGAATTGGCTCATTTTTCTACCCCCCCCCTCCACCTTGCTCACAGTGACAGGTCACCCTGGCCTAGGAGTTATTAAGGGGACAGATAGGACACTTTGCCCATTCCATCTGGCCCGTGTCTGGCTTCACCGGCCTCCCTCTGTTGCCAGCAGGCCCTAAAGCTTTAACTCCTCACCAAAGATAGAACGTTGCCCAGGGCAGGGGGGAGGGGGGAGGGGGGAAGGTGAGAAATTGAGAGGTAAGTTTTTTTCTTTTCTTTTCTTTTTTTTTCTTTTCTTTTCTTTTCTTTTCTTTTCTTTTCTTTTCTTTTCTTTCTTTTCTTTTCTTTCTCCAAGTATTTTTTTCTCCTTGGAGGAAATATGTAGTTCTTTGGGGTTTTTTTTGTTTTGTTTTATTTTCCGAAAAAAAAATTTTTCCCCACCTCCAAATATGCCATACCTAATAATCCCATAAACAGATGGAGTGATCATGCAGGGTTTATTTTTCCCAAAATTAGCAAAGCCATCTCCTAAAATTCATGTCACTGCAAAAGCAGTGTTGAGACAAGGCACATAACCTCTCTGGGCCCTCAGTTTCCCCACCCGTGAGAATGATAATCCCAAGCACTAAAGTCACTAAAGTCACTCACCTATGCTAGAGTGTAGGGAGCACCCAACAGTCCTTACCTCACGCCCATCTGCGGAGCACAAGAGTATCAACGGCCATGGACTGTCTCAGGCTCTTTAGGAAGTTGGTGACTGTTGTCACAGTGAATGGCCTGGGCGGTGGTTAAGGCTGTGGCCCGGCCACTTGTTGGCTGGGGATGGGACGATGGGTCATGTAATCTCCCTGAGCATCTTAATAAGGATGGTACATACAGATGAGGGAGAGTTCAATGAGAATACATTTAGAAACCCATTAGGAACAGGAGGTAGAAATGGGCAAACCAGTCTCGCATTTAATCTTCACACGAATGTGTTTGTAGTGGTCATGGTCCCCATTGTGGCATTGAGGACCCTGAGGCTCCCCTCCAGTTAGCTGCTCGGGGTCACAGGGTAGCAAGCAGCAGAGCCAGGAATTACCCTCGGGGCTCCGACTCCACTGGGTTACACTATTTCTCAGTAAAACCAGCTCAGTTTCAGAGAAACCAGTTAGAGCTGCCCCCATGCTAGCCCTTGAGGGTGACAAGCCCCACCTCTGCCCCCCTCCAACTCTGTGCTTGTGGTAACCAATGCTCCCTACACGCTCCCACCCCTGCAACATCAGGCAAGGACTGATGGTGCCTCTAGATGTTTCCAGGCTCAGGAAGCTTCGCCATCCCTCGAAGGTTTCCTTGGCTCCGCCTCCAGCTTGTAAATAGTCCCTTCGGTAAACAGCCGTCCCAGATGGGTGACCCCATGTCGGTGAGCCATCCATCTCCTGCTGGGCTTCCTGCAGGGAAGGGTTGGGCTGACCTTCTGAGCTCCCTCTGCACTCCGAGGGTAGGCTCATGTGGACAGGTAAAACGCATCCCCTGTCCTGGGATGTCACTTCCTTGTGCCCTCCGACTTCCCTTTGGTCTTTGACAGTTAACCACACAGCTTCCAGGCCAAAGGCAGGAAGGTGGACCTAGGGCCTTGGGGAAAGCCCAGAGTTTTCCTCAGGCAAGGCTGGCTGGGCCCGGCCTTCCCCGCGGGGCGGGAATGCTCCCCCCACTCACCAGCACTAAGCACATCTCTGACTGGTTTTCAGGGTGGGCTTGGGTTCCTGAAGCCTCCCCTCCATCACTCCCTCCCCAGAGAGGAAATCCAAGGCAGAGCTCTGGAGTCAGAGGAGGCTCCCAACACACAGAAGGAGCCCCCAGAATAGGGGTCCCCTTGACAAACCCAGCTGGCTTTTAGCGCATGCTGAAATGGACTCTGACCCCTGTGTTTGAGTCATGTGCCTCAGGTAAACCTGGGGGGTCAGCAGCAAAGCCGGCAAGAGTCAGGGGACTCTGAAGCCCAGGGTTTGAATCTGAGTTTGAACCCTGGCTCAGCCTTTGGCCTGTTGGGTAGGTTAATTTCTCTAAAGGGCAGACTCGATCCCTCATCTATAAAATTCATATAAAATAATAATCGTGCCTTACTCATTGGCTTCCTGTGGAGACAACATAAGACACTACCTGGAAGCCTCCAGCATGCGTTAAAGCCCTCAGTAAACATCAGCTGTGACTACTGTAAGCATGATCCCCTGCCCACAGACCCTTTTATGCTTCTGTATCTTTGCACATGCCGTTCCCTCCATTCGAAATGATCTTTCTCTCTTTCTTTGCCTGGTAAACTCCTATTCATCCTTCAAGACCCAACTTAAATATCACCTCCTCAGGAAAGCAACGAGCCAGAATAGTTGGCCCCTCCTCCTTCCGCTACAGCAGCAGTTGCCAGCCTGGGAGTGTTGGATCCTCGGAGGTGTGGAGTGAGTGCAAGGACCCCCGGCTTCGAATGCACATCTTCTATCACACCTTCTGAAGGCTCGATAAGCAAAATGCACCACGATGTATGAACAAACTGTTCTGCCAGCGGCTGCTACCGCTGCTACGATTACGATTGATAAGCTATGAAATAACTGTAGACTGCTGCTAAGTACGTAATATCGTTGGGTCATGCAGTCCTTCGATCAGTGCGTGCCGTAAGGGCACGGGCCGGCATGTGATGTATCATAAAATTATTTCTGTCATTTGTTTTGTGTTTGTGTATGTGCCTTTATGTTCATAGAAAAGGGTCTAAAGGACGTATTCCCGGCCTACAGGGCTCATTCTGAAGAATGTACGCTATCCCTGCTCATGGCTTCCCCGAGGAGGTGATATTTAAGTTGGGTCTTGGTGGGTGAATAGGAGTTCACCAGGCAGAGAAAGAGAGAAACATTTGTGGATATATACACATTATGTGGCCCAGTTAGATCTCAAAATATTCCTCTCAAATGTGGAGAAATGGGAACCCTCGTGCACTGTTGGTGGGAATGCAAACTGGTGCAGCCGCTCTGGAAAACAGTGTGGAGGTTCCTCAAAAAATTAAAAATAGACCTACTCTATGACCCAGCAATAGCACTGCTAGGAATTGACCCAAGGGATACAGGAGTACTGATGCATAGGGGCACTTGTACCCGAATGTTTATAGCAGCGCTTTCAACAATAGCCAAATTATGGAAAGAGCCTAAATGCCCATCAACTGATGAATGCATAAAGAAGTTGTGGTTTATATACACAATGGAGTACTACTTGGCAGTGAGAAAGAATGAAATATGGCCTTTGGTAGCAACGTGGATGGAACTGGAGAGTGTGATGCTAAGTGAAGTGAGTCAGGCAGAGAAAGGCAGATACTATATGTTTACACTCTTATGTGGATCCTGAGAAGCTTAACAGAAGACTATGGGGGAGAGAAAGGGGAAAAAAGAGAGGGAGGGAGGCAAACCATAAGAGACTCTTGGGAACTGAGAATAGACTGAGGGTTGATGGGGGGTGGGGGAGAGGGGAAAGTGGGTGATGGGCATTGAGGAGGGCACCTGTTGGGATGAGCACTGGGTATTGTACGGAAACCGATTTGACAATAAATTTCATATTAAGAAAATATTCCTCTCAAAATATTAATCTGTATCCTTCCCCCCACCCCACTTCCTGCCTGACAAGGACAAAAATCTCTAAAGACTTAAGTGCCTGTTGGCATGATTGCCAAGCATGAGACAAGCCTGAGAGAAGGAGGGGTGACAGGGGAGAGCATGGGGGGGGGGGCAGAGAGTGGGGAGAGCAGCTCAGACAGGAGAGGAAGGAGGAGTCCTCCAGAGAGAGCAGAGGAGGACCTCCGCCTCAGGACTGTGGAGCCCAGGGCCTGGACGGCTTGGACTGCTTGGGTGGGATGCGGTCCTTGCACTCGCTAACGTGAGTCAAACTGAACAGAACCAGTACTACTGTCCTATTCAGTGAAGCAACCAATGTTACACAGAAAGAGAGAAAGATGGATGGAGGGAGGGATAAATGGATAGGTAGACACACAAAGCTATGGGGAGTGGGTTTGGGTTGGGGAGCAAGGTTCGAGGGGGAGACTTGCACTCTTTATATATTTATTAGCATAAATAAAATACCCATGCTTGCCTTGGGGCATAGCAGCGTGTATCAGTTAGCTATTGCTGCGTAACAAATTGCTCCCAATCCTAGTAGCTTCAAACAACGTACATATATTGTCTCACGGTTGCAACGGTGTGGAAGGAGTTTGGTTGGGTTGGTGCCGGCCCAGAGTCTCCCATAACGCCACAGCTAAGAGGTCGGCCAAAGCTCTGCTCGTTTGAAGGCTCAACTGGGGCTGGAGGGTCTGTTTCCACAATGGCTCCCTCACACGGCTGTTGGCGGGAGACCCCAGTTGCTCACCATGTGGACCTCTCCACAGGGCTGCTTGAGCGTCCTCACAACACGACGGCCAGCTTCCTAGAGAGCAAGGTGGCAGCCGCAGTGCCTCTTACGGCCCAGATTCAGAAGTCACACATCAACATGCTACAGTCTATCCATTAAAAGCAAGTCACGAACACAGCCCACACTAAAGGAGAACTGCACTCCACATTTCGAGGGGAAGAATACCAAAGACTTGTGAGCATACATATTTTAAAGACATCAGGGGCACCTGGGTGGCTCAGTGGGTGAAGCGTCCGACTCTTGATTTCAGCTCAGGTCATGATCTCACAGTTTGTGAGTTCGAGCCCTGCATCAGGCTCTGTGCTGGGGGTGCAGAGCCTGCTTGGGATTCTCTGATCTCTCTCTCTTCTGCCCCTCCCCTTCTAGCTCTCTCTCTCTCTCTCTCTCTCTCTCAAAAATAAATAAACAAACAAACTTAAAAAATTAAATAAAAAAAAAAAAGAGCACAGTCCCTTCTGGTCACCATGTATTTTCATCCCTCCCACATTCAAAGTGTACTCCCCCTATCTTGAAATGAGTGGGTCTGGGACCAGTGATGGACACTGTCCAGGATCCTTTCCCCTTCTAAAAGTTGACATTCTGGTAGAAAGATTCTTACAGCGCAGAATTTCCAAAGGAGGCAGGAGAAGAAGGAAAAGATTCTGCTTTCTCTGATGAACCAGTAAAGGATCATTAAGCACTCAAAAGTATAAAGCGACACAAGAAATACTTAATAATTGCCAGGGATTATTTGTG